TGATGTTGCAGCAGCCGCTTGAACCCACAATTGTAACCATCCTCCACCGATGGATTTAGCAACCTCAGCTAGATATCCATCTGTCCATAACTCACGATCCAAAGGTATAGCCCCGGTTCCAGACAAAAGAGGGAGGAAGTTCGAAAGAGCGACAAAAATAACACCGTAGCACAAAGCCTTAGGAAGTGTTTTCTTCGGATTTGCCACTTCACCGGCTAACGTACTAACTGAATCCCAGTAGTTCAGATTCCAGAAAAGAGTGTTGAGATACAAGTTCCAGTTGACATTTCCTAAATCCATCACAAGCCATCGTGAAGGCTCGAGCTGCGGAATCGAAACCAGACTCATTACAGCAAACGGAAGCATAGAGAAAACTCCCATAAACACAGCAGTCCAACCAACAATGGTTAGTCCTCTATAGTTTAAGTAAGTAAGCAAAAGAGTCAAGATCAAGATCGATGCAACTCTTGGCAAACCAGTAGCTAAAGCCGGGACCGCGGACTTCAAATAATCGAGGAAAAGAACGGGATACAAAGCGTTATCGATAACTCCACAAAGCCATTTCATCCAACCTACTTGAAACCCCCAAAAGGGTCCTAAAGCAGAGGAGACCCAAACAACAAAACCGCCGTTTATTGGAAACATTGTACTCATCTCTGCAGTGATCAAAGCCTCAGGGATACACCAGATGAAAGGGAAGATCACAAACCCTAAAAGAGCTAACAATGGTCCTGCTGCATTCACACTACCTTCAGCACCAAAAGGACCTCCTGAGACTTCGTAGAATATGAGAAAAACGAGTGGTAACACTGAAACTTTCTGAATCGAATTGTTTCCTTCTTTAGACGATCGACCAACATCACCATCATCATCATCGTGAAGATTACCATAAGCAAAGTCATTCATGTTATAGTCTCTCATGGTAATGATACTTCCCTTCTGAATCAACACAAAGAAACAAAGAAAAAAACAATCAGATAAATTCTTGAATCCTTATACGAAAGTCTAAACATTTACGAGAGGTAAAGAAGTACGAACCTTGAGAGAATCTAGGGTTGTCTGAAGATCTTCGTTGTCTGACGATTGAGCAATGCTTTAAGAAGAAAACAAAACTCACCCATATCGTTGTACTTGTCATATCTTGGAAGGGATTGAAGAAATTGTGGTTCTCTGTTTTGAGAGTGTCCATATCAATGACAAGTCCTAAATATTTAGTGATGGAACCTCCGATCAATTGAGACTATAGCGATTTTGTTTGCATGTCAAACACTGATACTGCTTTTTGGGGTTTTGTGAGGTTTTTTTCTCTCTTTCCAATCATTGGTGATGAAACCTTATCCAGAGATCCAAGCTTTACAACTGTTGACCCGACTTTGATCGAAGCTTTTGTTCAAAGACTTCAAATTTCCAAAACCATGTTTCAAATCGACAATGGCAACGACAAAAACAAAACAGAGATACAAACATTGCACATTTTATTAGAACCGTGCTAACGATGACCTAACTTTACGAAAAAAACTACAACTTTAGAACAAGCTGTGAATAAAGCAGAGTACAGACCATGAGAAATTAAGCTTTTTTGGTTATAGCTTCCAAGCTCTGTACTTAACATAGATGAGGGAAAGAACTAAGCACATTCTTAACGTATTAGAGTTTCTTCGTATTCCCGAGTCTGCTGCTGAAGGTCCGGTAAGTCAGAACTGATGGAGAATTTGACCCATCTCTTTCGATCCATATGGTTCAGTAAAGGATGTATCAGGAAACCAATGATCATCATCACAATGCTCACTGCAGCTACTTTAAGAGACGAGAGTGCTACAACAGCACAGATCAGTATGGTTGGAGGAATACACATGAGGATCGAACCTGTGGTTCCAATAGGTATCTTGTACGGTCTTGATGCAGCAGGGTGTTTCATTCTCATTCTAACAAACGCTATAAACTCTAAGATCATACCAACGCAGTAGAGTAAGTTCTCTGCAGCTACAATCTCTTGAAAGCTTAGCCAAGACAAGAGAACAACACCTGAAGCTGAAAACAGAATCCCTAGTAAAGGTGTCCCGTAACGTGACCTTTTGGCAAAGAATTCGGGAAGCATACCGCGCTCAGCCATTCCGAGAAGCTGAAAAGAGTCACTACTCATCTCGGCTATAAACATTCCCATGTTTGATGTAGCTGCAGCCGCTTGAACCCACCATCTCAACCACGCTCCACCAAGAGCTTTGGCCACATCAGAAAAATACCCATCTGTCCATTTCTCACGCTCTAGCGGGATTGCCCCGATTCCAGCCAAAAGAGGGAAGATGTAAGAACAAGCAACTAAGATCACACCATAAAACAAAGCCTTTGGAAGTGTATGGTTGGGGTTTTCAACTTCACCAGCTAGTGTACTGATCGAGTCCCAATAGTTTAGATTCCAGAAAAGCGTGTTAAGATACAAATTCCAGTTCACATTCCCTAAGTCCATCACAAGCCACCTCGAAGGCTCTAGCTTCGGAATCGAAATCAAACCCATCACAGCAAATGGAAGGATCGAGAAAACCCCCATAAGCACAGCAACCCAACCAACTATAGTTAGTCCCCTGTAGTTCAGATACGTCAACAAAATAGTCAGCACCAAGATCGATGCAACTCTCGGTAAACCGCTACCTAAAGCCGGGACTCCAGACTTCAAATAGTCAAGAAACAGAACAGGATACAAAGCGTTATCAATAACACCACTAAGCCATTTCATCCAACCTTGCTGAAACCCCCAAAAAGGTCCCAAAGCAGAGGAAACCCACACAACATAACCGCCATTCTCAGGATACATTGTTCCCATCTCCGCAGTAATCAAAGCCTCAGGGATACTCCAAATGAAAGGAAAGATCACAAACCCTAGAAGAGCTAATAATGGTCCAGCTGCATTCACACTATCCTCAACACCAAAAGGACCTCCTGAGACTTCATAGAATATGAGGAAAACAAGTGGCAACATGGAAACTTTCCGAATCTTATCGGTAGCTTTAGGCGGTGATGATGGAACCTCATCAGCACCAACACTTGAGTAAGGAACATCATTATTCTCGTACTGACTCATCTCAATAGACGCGGAGGGGTTCACAGTGATGATTCTCCGCTTCTGCATAACGTCATCCAGATTTTAAACGGATTAGAACTCTCCCACATCCCAATAAGGTTTTCGTTATCTGCAACAATCCTTATAAATTACTCAAATTTGCTACAGATTCTGAATTTTGAATTTAGGGTTCGTCATAATTCCGAAATTTACTTTTCTCAGATGGGTATCTTCAATATGCATTAACAAAATCCAAAAGAACGAAAAAGGAGCTTAGACTAAAAGATCTCAGAACTAGATCACTCAAAAGTCAAAATTAGTGAACGATGACAAAAGAATAAATCTTTACGAGAGGTGAAGAAGCACGAACCGTGAGAGAATCGAGGGTCGTGTCTTGAGATCTCCGTCGTTCGTTAAGTTGATGAATAATGAAAGCTTTTGGAACGATTTAGAGATGCTTGAAGAAGAAAACAAAACAAAGCCCTTTTGTCGAATAAACCAGATTTCAAAAGAATGAATTACAATTATTTATATATTGGAAAAACAGATATATTTGGCCTCGTGTCCTCGAGTGGCTTTTTTAAAAGATTCTTGCTTCTCGGAAGAAATGTTTTTACAATGTGTGAGATCATGGAAGATGGAATCTGGATCTCAAATTTGCGCATGCGCTTTTTATACTACAAAAATCTAATTAAGAGTCTTAATTAGTTTACTAAATTGCTATTAATTGAGGAAGAAAGCTCTTCACTAATGCTTTTTTTTTAGAAAATAACCAAATACACATGATTTAGAAACTTCAAACCAAAATGAAAATGTACATAAGATAGGAAATATAGTATGAGATTTACTTTTTTTTAACCCAACAAAAGATATGAAATTCGTATAACACTATTAAACTTTGAATGGTTGTATAGTACATTGCGGATCGGATTAAAGTTTGACCAATCCACACCTAATTCATCATTCACCATAGCGGACCAATAACGGACCAATATGTACTAATTTCAAGCAAAAAAATAGTTAGATTTTTGGATGTTGAATTCATGGGTCCGTTGTTTAAATTGGACAAGGACAATAATACATGATTAAATTTAGGCACGTGTTCAAAAACTAAATTATATACGGATCGGTGTTTGTGGGTAGTGGCTAGCCTTTAATTGGGTTTGTACCATGATACACATGTAGCAATTGCCATCAAACAAAAGAAAACTTCAAATATCTTCTTTTTGTGTAGCCTCAAATAAAAGAAATCTTACCACCAACAAATGGAAGGCTTCTTTGGTAAAGAGTTTTGGATTTTCACAACTGGAAAAAAATAAACTTTTAATCTGTACACATAGTATTGTGGCTTTTGTTCCAACCAAATTTCGTTAGCTTTTCACCAATTTAAAGCTACAAATCAATACCAAACCTCCATAATAAAACACTAGTCGTCTCTATACTCTCTCGAACAAAGACTCAACCGGTTTGGGTTGGCTTTTCTATATAAGAATTAACCATTTAACATTGATTATACAGTTTTTAAACTGAAATTTATCAGTTAAGATTTGGAATTAGGTCACTACTCAGAAATAATTATGCTTCTGGAGTGGTGAAAAAATCTCAACCGGTTTCCAATGTAATTAACCGTTGTTCACATTTCTCATATCTTAAATACTGTATCATTTCAATCAACCAGTCTACATATTAAACAGAGTTGTTCAAGTCCTAAAGGTTACTTGGTATTGGTGCAGTGAAACAACCAGCTTTTCTTGTACTTTGATTCCTTTACTTCAACAAGTTCAAACTCCAATCATTTACACAAAGTACTGTTCAATGTCAACCATCAGTATCTCGGTAACAGTGAATTTATTTACCAAACCAAGTCGCAAACTCAATGAACTAAAAACAATTTTGCAAAAGAATCAAACAATCGTGAAAATATTTGGATCGATAAGAACATGAATGTGGGAAAGATTTAGTAGTCGAGAGCGAAGAGAAAAACCGCAACAACTGTGGATCTATCCCAACGGTTGTCTGGCCGCTTACTGAATTAACAGCTATTCCTCTATGCATCCTCGAAAATGGCCATGCCATCAGAACGAGGCATGTCCTTCGATACAAGGTGCAATAACAACAACAACGACAACTTCAAGTATTGGATGATTCAAAAATGAGATTCTTAATGAGAACAAATCTGTAGGATAGATTTAGTAGCTGAAAGCAGAGGAATAAATCCGCTTCACCTGTGGATCTATCCCGACGGTTGTCTGGCCGCTTGCTGATTAAACAGCTCTCTCTTTCTGCACTTTTGCATTAAAGACTACGTCACTGTAATTCGACATAGCCTTCGATACATAGTGCAATTTCTTATCAATCTCTTAAACCCACAATCACAAAGCACAACCCGAGAAATTTGAACCACTAAAACAAAAAGCTTCAAACTTTCTTACCGATTAAGAATATAATGTAAACTAGAGCAAGACCCATATACGAAATTAGCTAATGAATCAGAAACTCCGACACTGAAGCGGCGTCGGAAATTGACATTGGAAGGCTATTGATACTAGTGGGGAATTAGGGTTTGGAGAGAAGAGAAGCGGTTCCGTTAAATAAAGAAACGTATTCATCAGTCTATTGGGCTGACCCAGTAAAGCCCATAGTTTTTTTAATTTATCCGGGTTGGTTTGAGATAAACCGGGTCCTTCCACGGCGGCGTAACTAAAACAATTAGGGTTTTTAACTATGGAGGACGTCACTTCAAATTATGTAAATCCATTGGGCCGTATACTAAAGGCCCATTATATATCTTAAGTCGGTTTGGTTTATATCGATTCTTAGGCAAATCAGGTTGCATTTTTCACTCTGTTTTCAATTTCGCGGCAATGGGAACTCTGTGAAACATGTTTCTTCTTTCTTCATCCTCTTCACAATTACGCAAGAGTTTCCCGGGGATTTTCTCACTGTTCTTGAGGCTGAATCGTCTGTACCCTCGGGGGTTTTCGTCTGATTCTACTAAAGCCCTCGCCGCCGGTGTCTCTAAAGCAATCAAAGAAGGAAACTTTAACTTATTAGATTCTGTCTACGGTTCAAATTTGCAACGACAGGAGACGAATTTGGTCCTTCTTTCGCTTGAATCAGAACCAAATTCTGCGCTAGAATACTTTCGATGGGCAGAGATATCTGGAAAGGATCCTTCTTTCTATACCATTGCTCATGTTTTGATCCGAAATGGGATGTTCGATGTTGCAGATAAGGTGTTCGATGAAATGATCACCAATCGTGGGAAGGATTTCAACGTTCTGGGTTCGATTAGGGATAGGTCATTGGATGCTGATGTTTGCAAGTTTTTGATGGAATGTTGTTGTAGATATGGTATGGTTGATAAGGCTCTGGAGATATTTGTGTATAGTACTCAATTGGGTGTAGTTATACCGGAGGATTCTGTATATAGGATGCTAAATTCTTTTATTGGTTCTGATCGTGTTGACTTAATAGCTGATCATTTTGATAAACTATGTAGAGGAGGAATTGTGCCTTCAGGTGTGAGTGCTCATGGATTTGTGTTGGATGCTCTTTTCTGCAAAGGAGAGGTTACAAAGGCTTTAGATTTTCATCGACTAGTAATGGAGAGAGGTTTTCGTGTTGGTATAGTTTCTTGCAATAAGGTTTTGAAGGGTCTTTCAGTTGATCAGATTGACGTAGCTTCTCGGTTGTTAAGTTTGGTGTTGGATTGTGGTCCGGCACCTAATGTGGTGACCTTTTGCACGTTGATTAATGGGTTTTGCAAAAGAGGTGAAATGGATAGAGCATTCGATCTTTTTAAAGTTATGGAACAGAGAGGGATAGCGCCAGACTTGATCGCTTACAGTACTCTGATTGATGGATACTTCAAAGCAGGGATGTTAGGAATGGGTCATAAGCTTTTCTCGCAGGCCTTACATAAAGGTGTGAAGTTGGACGTGGTTGTGTTCAGTTCAACGATTGATGTATATGTAAAATTTGGGGATTTTGCAACAGCTTCTGATGTGTACAAGAGAATGTTGTGTCAAGGGATTTCCCCTAATGTGGTTACTTACACCATTCTCATAAAAGGCTTGTGCCAGGATGGTAGGATTTACGAAGCTTTTGGTATGTATGGTCAGATCTTGAAACGTGGTATGGAGCCATCTGTTGTAACTTATAGCAGTCTCATTGATGGTTTTTGCAAGTGTGGGAACTTGAGATCCGGGTTTGCTTTATATGAGGATATGATAAAGATGGGTTATCCACCTGATGTTGTCATTTATGGTGTGCTTGTTGATGGCCTTTCTAAGCAAGGGCTCATGCTCCATGCTATGAGATTCTCTGTTAAGACGCTAGGCCAGTCGATCCGGCCCAATGTTGTAGTTTTTAATTCCTTAATAGATGGCTGGTGTAGGATAAATCGTTTTGACGAAGCTTTGAAGGTGTTTAGATTAATGGGGATATATGGTATAAAACCTGATGTAGCCACATTCACCACGGTTATGAGGGTGAGTATCATTGAAGGTAGATTAGAAGAAGCACTGTTTCTATTTTTTCGGATGTTCAAAATGGGTTTGGAACCTGACGCCGTAGCATTCTGTACCCTAATGGATGCATTCTGCAAGCATATGAAGCCAACTATTGGGCTTCAGCTGTTTGATCTTATGCAGAGGAATAAAATCTCTGCAGATATTGCGGTATGCAATGTCTTCATTCATTTGCTTTTCAAATGTCACCGCATGGAGGATGCTTCTAAGTTCTTCAATAATCTTATTGAAGGAAAGATGGAGCCTGATATTGTGACATATAACACAGTGATATGTGGCTACTGCTCTTTGAGAAGGTTAGATGAAGCAGCTAGGATTTTCGAGCTGCTAAAATTTACACCTTTTGGTCCCAATGCCGTTACTTTGACTATACTTATCCATGCACTCTGTAAAAATAATGATATGGATGGTGCTATAAGGATGTTCTCCATAATGGCGGATAAGGGCCCTAAACCGAATGTTGTCACATACGGTTGTCTAATGGATTGGTTTTCAAAATCCGTCGATATCGAAGGTTCTTTCAAGCTTTTCGAGGAAATGCAAGAGAAAGGTATTTCTCCAAGCATAATAAGTTATAGCATCATAATTGACGGTCTTTGCAAACGAGGAAGAGTGGATGAAGCAACAAATATCTTCCATCAGGCCATAGATGCAAAGTTATTGCCTGATGTTGTTGCCTACGCAATTCTTATCCGTGGTTATTGCAAGGTTGGAAGACTCGTTGAAGCTGCATTGTTGTATGAACATATGTTAAGAAACGGAGTCAAACCAGATGATTTGCTTCAACGAGCCCTTTCAGAATATAATCCCCCAAAGTGGTTGATGAGCAAAGGGGTCTGGGTACACGATAAACCGATGCCTGATTAAGGAATTTTAAGGAATTTAGAGCAAATGGTTGATGAATATGATCATATGGATTGGTGTTTTTTCAGGAGTTTCCTATCATCAATCATCAAGGTGCATGCCTCTTGTCTCTCAGCTCAAACAAAACAGTCACATGAGTTTTTCGAGATACATCAGTGAGTCACTTGTGAGTTCTTTAAATACATATCTTGTTTACAGAGGAATCAACGTACGATGTTGTTGTCCATGTGAAGTCTAAGGAGAAGCAATTACTAATAAATAATGTTGATTCGAGCTTTTAGTCAGACATAAAAGAGTTTGGCCAGTAACTACTAATCTATGTACAAAAGTCAAATGGTGAAAATCCTAACACACCCATATGGAAAGTTTGAAACTTTAAGCACATTGTCATGTTACTACAATTGATTGATAACGACCGTACCAGAACTCCTCGCCCGGTTTATTTAACGAAACCAATGGCAATTGACCATCTATGTGCCAGATCTGTTGGCCCGGTTTTACTCAACCGATTGAGACCGGGTTTTCATTGCTCCGCCTCTTGATGCAAATAGCAAATAAGTAGTTGAAATTATGTAGTTTCAATCCTCAATTGTGAACCGGGGCGGAGTTAAGTCATGTCGGTTTGGGCCTCGTATACAGTGTTAGGCTGTTAGCGTTAGGTAACTAAAGAAAACATTTGTATTTTTTACATTATTTGCAAATGACAAAAATGATTTATTTTGTTTGTATTTTGCGATTGAATTAAGAATTATTGTATAATTATCTATTTATGAGATACATTTAATACACACAATTATACCATGTTATTATATTGACAATTTTTAATCTGGCTAGTATTATTTTAAAATTTAAATACGAATATTTATATCGAACACATTTTTGTAAGTCATTATTAATATTTATAAAAACAAGTAATCACCATTAATATCAGTCATCCATGTGTGTATGTCATTGTAGATGCTTGAGTGTATAATAAATGTCCGCATCAAACTTTTTAGCTAATCTTTTTAGCTACAGGACCCATATTTTGTCTACAACGTTATTATTTTGATATCTACGTTTGGACTAAATTTCTAATGATTCAACAAAGTCACATACGGATACGGTCCACTAAATCTTAGTACTTCTGATTATTTTTCAAAGGGTTATATTATTACTGCAAATACTCATAATTATAAGCAATAAATGAATCTGTGAAGGAGATGAGAGGTCAAGGGCCCTAATTATTTTTAGAAAAGGAGAGATCACAAAGTTTTGTTTTTAAAATTCCAAAGCAAAAGGATAAAGGTAGATGCATTCTTCTGTCGGTGCTCTTTATTCCTCAGCCGACATTAAATATTTTAATTCAATTTTTATTTTTATTTTTATTTTAATTAATGGAGTAATTATTTGCAAGCCTCGAAAAATAAAAAATAGAGCATTGATTGACGCTGAATGAAGTAGACTACAAATTGCATCGTTCATGAAAATACCATTCGTTGTTAGTACCAAAGAGAGTCTCAAACTTTTGCTTGGATTAATTTACTTGTTAAATGATAATTGGTTGCTCTGAATCGTATATCTACATATCCCATGCACGTATTTTCTTTTTTCTTTTCCACTTTAAAGTTAGATCTCGACCTTTTTCCAGCACTAAAAGTGAGAAATAATTTGTTTCATAATAGTATTCCAGGATTTACAAAAAAATATTGAAACTAGGCTGAGTATAATATCAACATATTTTTAGGTAAAACACGACAATCGTGTCATGATTTTATGTTTTTATCTTTGAGATCAGTAATATGCATGTATGAGTTTAAAATGGTTTGTAATCTACTTTACTTGACTTTTCTATACTATTATCAAGCTTGCACTACAAAACCTATCAACATCAATCATTCAATTGTATTTTACATAATGTAATTTAGTGATTTATAATGTTTAGAGATAAGTAAAAAAAACAAAAACAA